CAAGAACCACGAGGAATACGAGGTTGAAAAGGTGTTGGATTCACGGTGAAGGTGGGGCAAGTTGGAGTATCTTGTTCATTGGTGCAGCTATGACATTCATGAGCGAACGTGGGAGCCAGCTAAAAATCTCGCCAATGTGCCGCAAAAGGTATAGGAGTTTCATCAACAACATCCTCATAAACCTAAGCCGGTTCGACGATAGCTTCCTTCTGAAGCTTGCTTACCCAAGAATATAAAAAAGGGGGAGAGCACCACCAAAATTCGTAGTTGATGTAGTTATTTTCTCCAAGATAAAATAGAATTTTTTTCAGTAGCCATAGTTTGGTCTTTTGATATGGATAGCCAAGAGATAGATACTATGTCAGTTAGATTATCTCAACCGACTAGCTCACAAAGGCGACCACGAGATGAAGAACCGCCTACACTATGACGACTACGAAGGATACCGAGTAACCAATCACTGGTGGTTGTATTTGAGTCCAAGCCTGCTTATGATGGTCAGCCAGAAGGCGTGTTTGCAGGACAATTTCACAATGAGGATATGGAAGTTCATGCTTGGTCAGAAGTTGAAGGAGTGGGCCACTATCGTTGGCTTCAAGGATCGATGAACCACTTGCCTCGTAAACAAGAGTTGGAGTTCATAGCAGACGTTATGCGATAGATCTTCATTTTCTTGCGTTGGTATTAATTAACAATAACATTGCTTCTCAGAGACCTAGAAGCTAAAGGAGGGAATGATGTTAGGGACATAGTCCTTAGAATCTTCTAGAGACAAGTTTCTAGAACCTTTTAGAAGCAAGTCTCTGGAATCTTCTAGAAGCTTCTTAGTTGGTAGAAGATGTTAGGGACATAGTCCTTAGAACCTTCTAGAAGCAAGTCTCTGGAACCTTCTAGAAGCTTCTTAGTTGGTAGAAGTTGCTTGAGAAGCTTCCTAAATAGGAATATATATTGAAATCGAGACTGAAGAGTTCTTCAGTCTCGACAACACATCTCTTGGAGCCCTAGCTCACCTCTCTAGTGTTGTTCTTGTATTCATCTGATTAATCTAGTGCTTGCCAATTCTTGTTGAACTTCTTCTTAGATCTCGAGTCTATATTTTTGTGTCCGTGATAATGATCTTATTTGTGTTAATATGATAGACCATAAATTATCTTTGTCTTTAAAATAATATAATTAAAAATATAAAAAAGAAATTATATAAAGAACCAAAATTTACATAATTTTATTATTTTTTTGAATATATGACAATGTCTTCTTTAAAAGAATCTACATTCAATCTATCATTAGTAAAAACTCTATTAATTTTATTAAAGGTACATGAATTGTATTTACACACATCATATTGCTAAAACCCTAATATTTTAATTCATACTATTTTCAATCATCTAATTGAGCTACATAAAAATAGTATGAAAATATTAGAGTTTCAATCAATGCAGCTTCTAGCATTTGCAAATAAGAACACATCAAAATCATGCATGTGCATCAATATTGCATTAATATTTATGTTCTTTTTTTTCTTTTTTTTTGATGTAGTTTGTGATGAAGACTTTTTGTATCTAGAATATAATATTACTAACTTCTTTATATTAACCATTAGTTTTTGCTCTTAAAAAAAATGTAACTTAGAAATTTAATATATTTATGTTTATTTTTTTATAATACTTTACTTTGATGTTGATACTTTTAAGGAATCCATGTATAATTTTTAATAGGATAACATGTAGAAAACTAATAATCTTCTAATTTTAAAAAATATAAAGATTCACAAATTTGTTTATCATGATCTAAAAACTTGTTTGTGAATTTATTGAAGAGCATTGCATGTATAGAATAAATAGTCATTTGTTCAAGCTTTTAGTCCAAAATTTTTTAAGCCTTTCTATCAATTCAAATATACAATATTTAATCAACTTCATATATTATTTTGTGTATTATATAATAAAAATTATAAACAAAAAATAATAATTTCAAGTCCTAATTATATGCAAGATACTTATAGATTTATTTTTCCTATATTTTTTTAATAATCTATTGGGTTGCTTGTAGTAAAAGATTCAAGTTAAATAACATTTTCTCAAATTATTATCCTTCTTAAGAATTAAGACAACAATGCCAAAAAAATCGAATTCTTTTGTAAAAAAATCAAGTCTACAATATTACAAGACACATTTAATAATATTCCTATACCATTTAAGTGTAACATCAAAAAATAATTTATCAACTTCAATAAATTTTGTGCTCCTTTCTTTGTTGCTTTAGAACTCATCACATCAATTCTAAAACCACAATGTGATTTGATCATGTCTAACAAGAGCAAAGCCCAAAAATATTCAACAACAAAGCATTAACAAAACATCCAAAACTTTCAAAACCTCCTAATTCACATTAGAATTCATGCTATATGGTTTAAATATGAAACACCTTGTGTATTTCTCCCTTGCAATTTTCACACATGAAAAATGAGAGGAATGTAATAGTAATTTGTCTACAATTACGTTAAAAAAGAGGTTAGTTACAGTACATGCTGTTGATGAGAATGCTCCCCAAAATATTTACTATCCACAAGCCATGCCACTTGGGTTGCTTCCATTTGTACTGGTGCGTGGCCCCATTCAATTTGAGATTAGCAAGGATGTTGAAGAAAACAAACACAGGAAACTCAGCAAGCAAGAAACTCCGAGCAATAATATGCTTCTCAGCAAGCGTTTGGATACGTTTAAGTGACCCCCCCCCCCCCCCCCGAGGAGACTCATCGGGCGGCGTGAGGGAACGGGGGAGGCCACGAGGCGGACGGGAATTTGCAAGGCTCCCAGGGCAAGCGTAGCGTAAGGCGGGGTGGGGAACGGGCAGGGTTCCGCTGTGCTCCCCAAGTGGGGGGCGGTGACGGGGAACGGGCAGGATAGTCAACGTAAATTGGCGAGGGCTTCCGTGGCATGCCCAGGGCTGGGCTGGCTGGGGAACGGGCAGGGTTCGGCTGTTCTCAACAAGAAGAAGGGGGGGGGGGGGGGGGGACGGGCAGGGTAGCCGTGAATTGGCGAGGGCTCCCATGGCAAGCGCAGGGCAGGGCAATTCAAGCAGTTCAGCATTTACTTTGAAAAACTGATTAAAATGCCACTATGAAACTGATACAAGGATAAAAATTAGCGACATACTTCACTGAAAATTGGGTTCAGAATAACACACAACCTCTGTAACCATCAAACGCACTTGCTCAGGTAAATCGCTACTTTTTTATACGAAAAATTCAGAATACAGTTATTGTCGTGCAACAAACTATACTCTGACAAAGCTTACACTGCCAGGATCATCGGTAACACTAAAATGGACGTACAAGTAAGGAGTGCGCAATACAAATAAGACTTGTTGACGAAAAGCCAGAACCATTGCGCTAAAATCACCAAGGCACTTAACAAGACAATGTTACAAATTGCGTTCTAGTCTACCTGTGTTTGCACGAGCAAATTGAACAGCCAGGTGGACTTGATGCAAACGGGGCAACTACAATGAGGACAAGATTTTCAATACCAGAGTTGTAGTCGTTAAAAAGCAGGGACAAGACTTTCATAATCGCAGCGCCAGCAAGGTAAATAGAAATCACTCCGTCATTGTTGATCTGGAATATGAGGGATGTCCACCGGCTGACCAATGGTCACAGGATCTCCCAAGCCTCTGGTGATGTCCCATTTGCAAGAAAAGGCTCGAGGCGAAAACTCTACACTTTTACTCATGGTAGTGGTGTACACTGAACCAATGGAGCAGTTAATTGAAGCGAACAGACAGGAGCTCAAACAAGAGAAAGGAGCCATGAGATAGAGAGCACACGTCAAAGTAGAGGAAGGAGTTATAAGACAAGAGATAGCAGAGAAAGGGGTAATAAGAAGAGAGACAGGAGAGAGAGGAGGATTGGCGATGGCGCCGTTGCAATCGCTTGACAGTGAATTGGCTATGGGACGTGAACGTCCTGATATCAGCCGGACCCAGCCACCCAGCCCTGCCCTGCCCTTGGCATGGGAGCCCTTGCCAATTCACGCGGGCTACCCCCCGTGCTGATATCAGCCGGACCCCAGCCCTCGCCAATTCAAGTCCACTGCCCCGCCCCGCCCAGCCCGTTCCCTCCGCCCCCGCCTCCCGATAGCAGCCGAACCCTGCCCAAGCACGTGGCAAGCGCAGGGCAGGGCAGGGCTTTCCAATTCATCCCGCTGCACTGCCTCGCTCTGCCGCTGCCTTCCAATTCATCCCTCTGCATTGCTCCGCCCAACCTTGCCCTGCGCTTGGCATGAGAGCCTGGCCAATTCACTTTCGCTATCCTGCCCAGCGCGGGCTCCAAGCTCACTCGAAGCTCACCCATATGCTCGATTGGATCAAATGTTCAATGAACGTATGAATGAATCAACAAAGAATGACTACGAATCCTGAAACATTTTCTGAGTTGGTGCTGAGCATCCAAACACAGACTCAAAGCATTTGCGGTGTTAGTCATCAGCATGAATTGTCCACAGTGATGAGAGCTTTCAAGGTGGACTGTACTTTTTAAATTTTTTTATTTTGATGAACCAACTCCTCCTAGCTTTCCAACTCGCAGATTGCATCAAAAGCAGGAAAACAATACTCAGACGTTGTGGTTGAGGAGTTGTTTTATTTCGGGTTTATTCCTTCATTCTTAGCGATGATTGTCTCACTAAATTCTTAAGTTTTCAACCTGTTTTGTAAATAGCAAGTGATGTACAGGAAACCTGGGGTTATCTGACGTGGCAGTCACCGTCCTCCAGTGGCGTGAAGACCCCCCCCCCCAAGGAGACTCACCGGGCGGCTTGAGGGAACAGGCGAGGGAGACGGGCGAAACCCGAGGAGGAGCGGTGGGGCACCGAACAGCTAACCAGACGTCACCAGTGCTGCCTCCCTCCCTCTATCGGCACTCCTCGCCCCTTTGCCCAGCCCAGCCCAGCCCGTCCCCTGCCCAGGTGCTGCCATGGGAGACTGACTCGCTTGGATGCATTCCCCCGCCATCTCTGCCTCACTCGCTCGCTCTCTTGTCTGCGCTCCTGCCCTCCCTGCCGCTGCTCCTTCCTTCCCTCCCTTGGTCTCTGTTTCTCTTGCGCTGGACTGCACCTGCGCTGCTGCATCACGCGGCCCTCGTCTTACCCTTTGCTCCTGCCTTCGACGCTGCGGTGACGGAGAATTGCTGGTATTCGGCGTCCACTGACCTTAGGGTTCTGCTCTCTGGCAGATTTATATCGACCGCAAATCGGGGGCTGCGAGACTAGTTTGCTGCTGTGAACAGTGGTGGTGCTCGACAGTGCGGTAGGGTTTGTAGCGGTGTGCTGGTGGGTGGCTGCGTCTGATGGCCTCCAAGCGTATTCTGAAGGAGTTGAAAGATTTGCAGAAGGATCCCCCGACATCATGCAGCGCTGGTGAGACTGCCGACGTTGTTTTTATTTTGTTCAATACTTGTTTCTTGGAGTTCTTCTGTGTGTGTGTTCGGTTCCGTGCGAGTGCTTGGAATCTGGATTGGAGTTGGCGTTGTGGTGGTGGCGATTGCTCGTGATCAGTGCCGGTGTCGTTTTGAGCTGTCCGAAGGATGTCGACAGCTATCGCTCGGTTCTAAGTTCGCCAATTGTAGAGGGCAGCGGCCGAGAATTCGAGGTGCAACGAACATTGCCAGGCTTGGTGTGATGTACGGATTGTGATCCGTAAGTCCGTTGATTGCAGGCATGGATGCACTTCGTGCTGGAGTACATGATGTTGGATGTAGCGGGTATGGTGTATTTTATTGGCGGGGTGTGATTTGAGGAGGTTCCGTGAGATTTGGCAAGTGCGATTGTGTCCGCGAATGTCCCCGGTACATTCGTGGATACGTGTAGACTTGATGTATCTTCTAGCTGATGTAGTTGAGGGGTCGTAGTCTTTTGAAGTGTGTCGGGGCCACGTGGAAAGGTGTGGTTCCTGCTGATTAGTAGTCGGAGGAATTCGTGGGGTCGGAAGTCTGTCTGGGGGACGTAGAAATACAACGTGTATCGCCTGAAGGCGGGTAGGCTGAAACCTTTTTGATGGACAGGTTGGGTGTTTGTAGAGTCAGCTGACTTTGCAGTTGTAGTGGTGAGCAGCGCGGTGGTTTTCTGCCTGGGCTGTTTGCTTGGTGATGTCCATCCACGTTGATTGTTCGAGATCGTCACATGGTCGTAAGGTACTGGTGCATGTGACCCGAATCGCGTGGCGTTTCGAAATGGCTTAGTCTCGTGGTGGTCTCCAGATATAGTGCCGACGGGATGAGTGAATGTGCTTGTCAGCTCAGTTGAGCGCATAGTCGTAGGAGCTTAAGTGTGGAATATGGGCATGGCATATTCAAACGTTGGTGACAGTTTTGGTTTGGAATGGGATGTAGTAGATGATGTCATGGGTGTCGTCTCACTGGCTGGTTGTGATTGATGTACGACAGGACCTGTGGCCGAGGATATGTTCCATTGGCAGGCTACGATTATGGGACCTCCAGATAGTCCGTATGCGGGAGGCGTATTTCTGGTCACCATTCATTTTCCCCCCGACTATCCATTCAAGCCTCCTAAGGTAGGTCTGCTTTGTCATTGTTGGGGATTAGTTGGGGTTGGGGTAGGAGCGCCTTCCGCCGCGCAACTATGGGTGTGTGGCAGGATTGCAGCCGATGGGTGTTGTTGCAGGTGCATGAATTGGTTATGATAGTCGTTACACACAGTTGCAATACGGATATGAGTACGTCGAATGGCATCTGTTGAGGTGTGGCTTGGGTCGACCATGGTAGAGAAGGTGTTGTATGGATGGACATGAAGGGGGGTTGTCGCGCAGGCTGGTAGTGTTAGATTTTCGAGAGACGACGGATAGTTGATGTTTGTTAAGCTGTTTGTGGAAATTGTGGTTGCAGGTTGCATTCAGGACCAAGGTTTTCCACCCGAACATCAATAGTAACGGGAGTATCTGCCTGGATATTTTAAAGGAACAGTGGAGCCCTGCTCTAACTATATCTAAGGTGCGTTGGTTGTACACGTCGTTGGAGTTGTTTTTCCGTGAATGTTGGTCTGTGTGTAAGAGGGGATGTGGGGTTGAATTGGTAGTGTGATGGGGGACACATGCAGCCGTGGTTGACTTTTATGTGTGGTGAAGGCGCGTGCCGGTAACTATCACCTGGTCGATGAAGTGGCGATGGTGATAGTGGGTGCGGTTGGATTTTTTGGGGGCGGGGCGGGATAAATTTGGTCGGTTTTGAATTGGAGTGGCTGCGGGTGGTATGGTTGAAACTTTGCACAAGTAAAGTCATTGGGTTGAGATTGGTGTAGAGGAACAGGGGTATGGGTTGTGGGAATGCATCTGGGAAGTTGGGAAGGCACGTGACGGGATGGGGGACATGGTTGTGTGTGGGTTGGTGCAGGTGCTGCTGTCAATCTGCTCTTTGCTGACAGACCCAAACCCGGATGATCCCCTTGTACCGGAAATCGCTCACATGTACAAGACAGACAGACATAAGTACGAGAGTACTGCGAGAAGTTGGACTCAGAAGTACGCAATGGGTTGAGAGCGGGAAGTTGCGGCAGTAGGGCTGCGAGCATGGGTAGGTTTGGCAGGACGTGGATGCGAGGATGATGTCTTAGCATTTATGCGAAGCTTAGTGGGAGATAAAGATGACGGTTACCAGTTGGCCCCGAGGGTCCTGATGATGGAGATGTTTGCGTTTTGGAGCCATTGTGTATGCTGCAACATACTGGTAGGGTAGTGAATGTGTGCTGAGGGGTAAAGTAGTGAGATAAGTTCAAAACTGTTTGGTGCACGTGTGTGGCATCTTGTGGTCGAGGTCGTGAGGATCATAGGTGCACCACTGCCTTGCTGTTGCAGCGTTCATGCATTTGCCAGGTTCCATATATTTATTAGAGGAGATGGCATTCTTGTGTGTTGGTCCGCATCTTGTGCTGTTTTGGGTGGAATCAGGACCGCATAGTTGGGTGTTCAGAAAGAATAGAGGTTGGCTGGCCATGTGATGGGTACTTTGGATGTCTGCCGCAAGTGTATAAGTACGTGACCATCCGTGGGGCAGGTTCCGACTGCTAGTCTTGTTTGCAGTGTGGACGAGGGAGGATTGGAAACCTTCTGTTGAGGAACTTATCCGGTGGGATTGTTGACTGAATAGTAGAGAGCGCGGAGGCCTGGCTATTTCTGATTAAGTGGTATTGGCTGGAGTGTTGGAGTCGCTGGTAAGGTTATTTGTCTAGCTCAATTGCAGTTCTTGTTGTCATGCAGAAGTATAAGTGCATTAATTGTGCACTTTGTGTTGTGCTGTAGTAATGTTAAACGCAATTCGGATACTTATCTTGTTTCTGAAATGTGTAGTCTTTTGTTGTTTTTTGGTGTTGTATGTGGGTATACATCTGTGGGCAGTAATTTCATAATGAATGTCTTGTTTTGCATTTTCAGGGTGTGTTGCGCATGCGAATCGTTGTGATTGGCTGCGTTTCTTGATGCAAATTGTTTCCTTCGTATCAATGAAGGTTTTATGACGTTTTCCGTATTACAGGTGCTTGCTTTGTGCTTACAATGCAGAACATTGGATCAAGAAACATCTGCGTTTTGCGAACAAAGTCTTGTCTTTTATAGTCTTTTGCGTGATCTGTGGAATTTGACACTTTTCTGGGTGTGTAGTTGTTGATTCTTTGCATGGCATACAGTTATTGTGAATGATGTGTATGTAGTGCCCTTCTTAATTCTGAGTTGGTGCCGAACCTCTGATTCTGTTCCTTAAACCCGTCTCTTGGCATTAGATTTTTATTGTGGAATATGGAAATAAGAGCCATCATGATATTGATTTGTCAATGAAATCCGTCAAATTCTACCGTGTAAAGATACTCTATTCAATTCCCTATTTTAACTTCTTGCAATACTCAGTGTCCAATTTGTGTCGTGCCTAGCCCTTTCTTTTTTTCTTTTTTTGTTTTTTTTTTTTTCCCCTTTTCTTCAGAGGATACTATTTTTTCGGTCATGTATATTGCCATTGAAAAAACCAATGCATATCAAAAATAGGTACATGAATTTAAAGACCATGACAGGGTAATTTGATGTTGTGCATCTGCTCAAAGAATATCCATTGATACAGAGAAAAATATTGGCACTTCAACAACCCTTGGGACTTGTAAAATCGGAGCAAGACAAACCAGTGTTAACTCAAATCTCTGTACTTATTGGGAACGGTGATTGACAAGAAGTTTGAAAACTATGAGACAAATTTCGATTTGGTTTATTAATGTATTGGCTTGAATGATTGGGACCTTGGATAACTGCGACTGACTATTTTCTAAATTGATAATTTTTTTACACAATGATATTATTATGCGACTAGATGTTACTACTTTAGTTAGGACAATATAGATCAAAAATCATTTCTTTAATCTTGAGGTCAAGAGCCCCTACAAGTCTGTTTCTACAAATTCAATCCTCTACTTTCTTTAGAGGACAGTTTGTTCAATTCTATCCTTGTTTTATTCCAAAGCTGCTTTCAGGATTAGAGGAAATAGATTTTTATCTGCTTTGCAACTTCTGAGCTACAGTTTCTCAACGTGGGAAGAAACTTTGATTGGTTAAAGCAATAGACTTATCCACATAAATATATGTTACGATGTTAATTTTGATGCAAATAAAATCATCTATAACTTAAAATGTTTCAGTTTTCAAATACTGATTTTCAAGTTTTTAATATAATTTATAGTAATCATCAAAAACATTAAACTTGAAACTAAAAAAATTAAATGATTTAGTGTAATACACTTTGCTTATATTAAAAATGTTACAAAAATAATTAAATGTTTTATTTTATTCTTGTTATTTTTCTATCTAATTTATTAAATGTATATTGATCATGCTAAAAAGAATTAAAGTAAAAGTTGATGCATAAACAATTTAGATCCCAATGAAGAATACAATTGATGCTACATGTTGTAGAAACAAATATGTTTTACACACCTTATAGGGGCTTTACAATTTTATTTAAAATTTGATTTACTTCAAACTTAAGAAAACAATATGTACATTAAGACATAAAATTACAAAAATCTTAAAATATTCAGTGAGGATACTATGTATATGATCTTTAAATATTATAAATTTAAAATAAATTTGTAATGAAAATGATTTAATTTAATTTAATTTAATTTATTTGTATTGATCTCATATTTCAATGTATTATTTCTATTAATTACTGTTAACTCTAAGACATATTTATAATTAATTCCTCTAATTGTATATTTTTTAAAATATTTAAATAGAGAAATTAAATATTATCTTTGAGGTCCCTAAATGACCAAATTTTATAATTGTGATAATATAATTTTTCACAAAAAAAAAATAAAAAAGAAAAAATACATATACACACATAGCTATAACATGTCTATTGAATAGAATACATTATTAAATACATTTGTTAAATCTAGGGTTCAAATTTGCTAAAAATATTTTATTTACTTATTGAGATGTAAATTTGGTAGAAACATTTGTACATTGGTGGCATACAATGTATGCCACCAATGTGTTTAGTTTTACCAATTTAGTATATGGTTTTATTTACCTTAAGTAAATAAATAGTTATACAAATACTATTTATTTTTTATTATTTTAATTTATTAATATAAATAATATAGTAAAAAATACCTGATTACAAATTCTAATTCTAAATTCAAATTATTAAGAAGTATCTTAAACAGACTAAATCTATTAGAAACCCAATAATTAAAATATTAGAGTCAATTGGTGGACTTAAATATATGATCTGATTGTAGATTATTTATCTGAAAATAATTGGCCAATATAAGGTGAATTTGTAGATAACTCGTATTAATTAAAAACTTCTTCTATGCTTCATCTAAACTTGATTAAAACTTGTATAAAATACAATTAGTTAATTGTTGTACCTTTCTTATTAAGTCTTATTTAAACAAAGAAATATGCATATTTAAATCTTAATATAAAATATATAGAATAAGAGTACAATAATATTATTCTGGAAGAACTTCGCAGTTATTTTTTTTTATTTATTTATCTTAACTTGAATACTTAGAGCTAATTAATTGAACTATCTTAAAGATGCAAATTCGGTTTCAAAACAAAAAAGACAATCAGTCTACTTTATGCTGGCCCTATATTTATTATCCTTTTAATAACTTAATAATTATAATAAAACAAGGTTAAAATATGAATTAAATATTCTAAATATATATATATATATATATATATATATATTTTAAATTTTAAACTTTCTATCTTTTTATTATATCCAACTTTGTAAATTTTTTTGTATATATATATATATATATATATATATATATATTTTAAATTTTAAACTTTCTATCTTTTTATTATATCAATAAGAAAAGAAAAAAAAAAAAGAAAAAAAAAAAACTTTAATTTATGACAAGTATTTTACAAATTATTATAAAGAATTTATTATTTCATGTAATCTTTAATATTGTCTTTAAAAACTAGTTTTTTTCTATTTACTACATATTTTTTTATATTATTGTACAAAACCTCTTATAATTTAATTTAATTTTTATTATTGTCGATATCTTCCTAATCTATGTTTTTTTAATATTTTAAACTATATTTTAATGATTTGTATAAAAAAAACCATAAGCACCTAGAACCTTTTATTCTATCAAATTTTTGATAAAGTTAATAATTATAAGGTTTGATTATACATATAAAATGTAGTATATCTACTTTGATGTCTAACTGAATATTAATATGTTAGTTCTTGGTAATGGTATTTTACCAATATTAATAATAAACATTTATTATTATTCATACTTTTCCCATAATAGCAAGACCTACATTTGGTAGTTTGAGGTAAGCAATAATTTATTGATTGCAATGTTGACTTCTATATGTTTGCAAAGGCTGGATATGAGTGTGTTATTGTGCCTTAATTTGTTATTGTGTCCAAAGTCTTTGTAGAGTTGGTGTGGTGATGACATATTCCTATCAATAAATGTAGTTTATCTAATTTCACAAAGAATTAATGGAAGTGAATGATTTCTTGCAACTATCAATGCATGGTAAGTAATGGAAATGCAATCCATTGATCTGTTGGAGCTAAATTTGTTTTTGTTTTTTGTTTTGTTTTGTTTTTTTGTATTTTTGTATTTTTGGTGATGTCCATGGCAAAGAAGGAAGAGAACTTCGGCTGATTGTGCCTAGTGCAATTTGTTTCTATATTAGTTGTGCCGTTTTGTTCAGAATCAGTTGAACTCTCTGTATAAGATTTGATATTGCCTCCGTAGTGATATTCAGATCTTCATTCAGTGGAGCTTTGAAACCCTCAAAAATGTTCTACAAAAGTTCGTCTATTTTGGCCAAGGTTGTTTTAGTGAATTGGTGGGCTATGAACTCTTAATAAGTAGTCTCTTGTGTCAAGACAACCTTAGCATGAGAATTGGCTAATTGGTCACTAAAGCGCTATATTAATTGCGGCTTGAATGTATTATCAGGCCTTGACATTTTTTGATTGAAAATAGCTCAGGGCTGGTTAGGTTTATAACATTTCTTATTACAGAAGAGTCTTGCAAAATAGAGTAGGCATGTTTTGATATAGGTGGCAGTTGTTGATTGGTTGGGGTCGAATAATAGCATAATTAGATTTGAAATGGATAAAAAAAAAATCTTGAGCTAAAATATTTATGTAAATCATATTTATAGGCCAAATAGTGTGAAAACATTTAAAATCCTATTGATTTCTATTTCCCTAATATGGAGATATATTATTTTCATTTTTACACTTAGTGGATATATACTAAAATGTTTAAGTCACATATTTTGACTATGTGTGTTGCTTTGCTTGAAACAACTTTTTCAAAGTTTCTGCCAAAGCGTTTAGCCTATCACATTGATTAAATTTGTGCATACTTCTTTTTGCTATCTTGTTCGAATGCATATTGGGCATGTGGTTGTTGAAAGTAACTTGTATTTTTCAACAACCAAAATACTTAAAAATCCTAATAAAATTCTAAACAAATCTTGATTGAATTTTAACAATTCTAATCAAACCTTAATCAAATTCTATAAGAATTATTAACTAATTCATAAAGAATATAAAAAAAAAAATCCTAAAATAATTATAAAGAGACTTTAATGAAATCCTTAATACAAATCCCAAAGGAATCTTAATAAAATAATAATTTAATATTTAAATATTTTAAAATAAATTCTAAAAATATCCAAATTAATCCTAAATAAGCCTTAACAATTTTTAAAAAATTCTAAAAAATTATAAAAAATTTAAAATAAATTCTAACCAAATTTTAATATGACCTTAATAATATCCTATACAAATTCTAATGAA